ACTGGAGCCACTGCTCGAGCCTGTACTGGTACTAGAGCCTGAGCTAGAAGTTGAGCTGGACCGAGACCTGAGGGGAACATAAAGGGGACAAAGGCAGAAACGGTCAGGAGCTGATGTGTTCACAGCAGATATCCCAAAAGAAAAGGATTGCTGTTCAGATATCCTCAAGCCTCAATGCTTCCCCAGTGGAAAGAACACTCTTCTTCTACCCCCAAACCACAGCATTGTATAGTGACTAGAAAGGGGGTTAGGGAGAGGCTGAAGTTATCCACATAGGAACATTTTCTACTGGCAGAAAAAGACTCTTATCAAAAGTTAGAACCACCACTTTAGCTTGGGAAAGATGTTACAAATCAACTCAGGATGGTATTCTTTCTTTCTTTTTGGTATCAGGGACTGAACTCAGGACCCTGTGCTTGCCAGGCAGGCATTTATGCCACTGAGCTATCTCCCTGCCCCCCCCCTTTTTCTTTTTTTTTGCAGAACCAGGGATTGAACTCAGGTCCTTGTGCTTGCCAGGGAAGCGCATATTCCACTGCGCCATCTCCCCACACCCTTTCTTTTGTTTTTTGAGGCAAGGTTGTGCTATACATTTAAGGCTGGTCTTGAACTCCCAATCTTCTTGCCTCAGGTATGTGCCATCATGCCTGGTGAAGGCTGGATTTCAACTACTGAAAAATAAGCTCTAGACTAGAGCAACACAATTGCAATGCTGGCTAAGATACAGTTGAAAGAAGATAATAATATCCAAAAATGCCACATTCCTTAATCTCCACAGGGGAAAACAAAATAAAACCAAAACACTGAAATTGTCTTCTGCATATAAAAGACCCCAACTAGTATTTTATAATGTAAGGTTTCTATTAATAACCTGAGAGAATGGTTGCTTTGTAACTAGCTAAGGAAAAGGGAGCCTTCTATGCAGGAATGTGGTTCTGCAGTGGTCTCTCTGCCCCACCTGGTGCTGCTGCTTCCACTGGAAGCACTGCGCCTCTTCCGGGTCTTATCCCTGCCGCGGTCCTTCTCACTAGACTCCTTGGTGGCCCCTTTG